TCTGCTGATTGGCTGCCCCTCACTGACACGCACGTGCACGTTTCTTTCCTTCTCTGATGCAGGACTCACAGGATTAAGCATCAAGACTCCGCAGGTCTTCCTGGTGTCCAGCTTTCAGCTCCACCAGTATGACTTCCCCCTCTTACACAAAGCCTTAGAGAGCGGCCTTCCTGAAGTCAAGAGAGACGCTCTGCTGTTGGCCACGCCCAGTATCAGCCGCGAGATCATCAACAAGAAGAAAGAAGCTTTCAAGGTAAGATTGTACTGTCAGCCACTCTGTCTACAGCTTTACTGGAGTCTGATCAGCATACTCAAGGCTTTTTTTCCTAATCTGCCCTCACTCATCATAACATCAGCATTCACTCGAACAAAGAAGGTTATCAGCCAAAGTTTATCAGTCTAAGAGCAAATTCATATAAGAGAGGCCAGGGTGACACCATGCAACAGACCTGAACGCGTCTGATTCTACAAATAAAGAGAAAACTATGATGTTAGAAACATAAGAAGAGACAGAAGAAGAGATGATCTCAGTGAGATGACCCATGTGACGAGTCTGAGCTTCACATAGAGGCTTATACAGTTTATGGGTGAAAATATTTACCTCTGTTGTGGGGACATCACCGTTTATAAATCTGATATAACTGTGTCTACATGAAGACACTGATTGTCTTTCAGCAGAATCGTAATAAACATCTCAATTTTCTTAAAGCCCCAAAACCACAACATACGATGTAAGACGGGCTGATGTTGTTTGTTTTTGTGCAAAATTACCATGAAATCTTACATAATTAAAATTACTACAATATTAATAATATGCTACAATTATTATATACTTATTATTACTCGCTGCCTCTTATTATAGTGTGCCTTCTTTAAGTATTTGTAAGTAATAACACTGTAAATTCACAATTTAATTACAGAGAACTTTTGCTTTGATTGGGGAAATTTTTATAAACTGTTATTGAAATTTGTTTTTAGAATAAATTTCAATACTTCGGTGCTTTAAAACTGAAAAAGTGTGAGTTGATTTTGTATCAACATAATTTGACTCAAAAATATAATAACGGTAAACACAGACGGACCTAAAGGTGTGTGATGCACATGAATATAATAAAATACAATAAAGTGGCTCAGTTCACAGCATGCTGAGCTATTGTAGTCAATTCTCTGTGGAATATTAAGCAGAGTGTTTCATGTTTTGTGTGATGATGTAAGATTAAATAAAGCAAAAGAACCTGAAAAAAAAGCCCCAAAGTTTAAAGTTTATCCTTTTTTTTTCATTCCAGGCATCAGAGACAAGCACAGACAAGCAATTTGAAATTGAAACTGTGAGAGAAGAAATTAAAGAAGCTCTGCTGAACAATGACAAATCGCTGGCTATCACAAAGATCAAGGAGTTACTGGACAAGGAGAAGAACACTCCACTGAATATCGCCATCACAGGAGAATCCGGCTCTGGGAAATCCACCTTTGTTAACGCCTTCAGGGGCATGGACAACAGAGAGGAGGGAGCCGCCCTGACCGGTGTTACAGAAACCACCTCAGAGGTCACAGCGTACCCCCATCCAAACTATCCCAAGGTTACTTTATGGGATCTCCCTGGAATCGGCACCACCAAGTTCCCAGCTGATAAATATTTGGAGTGTGTTGGATTTGAGAAGTTTGACTTCTTCATCATCGTCTCAGCTGATCGCTTCAGAGAAAATGACGTGAAACTCGCTCAGGAGATTCAGAGGATGGAGAAGAAGTTCTACTTTGTTCGCTCAAAGATCGACAACGATTTACGGGCCGAGAGAAGAAAGAGAACCTTCAGTGAAGAGGAGACTCTTAGGAAAATGAGGGAAAACTGCATTCAAGGTGAGACTGATTTATTCATCATCTCATACCAAAAACGTTTGTTCACCAAAGCTTACTGAGAGAAAGCTGCTTGAACATCACCATCAGGGGTGATAGACGAGGTACAGCCCAGACAGGAGGAGGAGGATTGTCCTGATGATGGTGACACAGCTGCTGAAGAAGTCAGGCAGATGCTGGAGAGATGAACTTTGTTATTAGGAAACTTTATTATACTTATTATAGTGTTTGGGAGGAGCTTGCAGTCTGATATCGTCAGGTGATTTTGTATTAAGATAGTTCTTGATGAGTCACAGACGTCAAAATCATTTTTGTTGCAGTCGGTAGCTTAAATGTTACACATAAAGTGGCACAGTGTATTTTAAAATATAACTATATAATAAGCTTAATAAGGAATATATAGCAACAGTAGCTATAAAATCACCAATATGAAAACACAACCCCAGTCTGTATGTGGTGGCGTACACAGTTTTCACTATGAGTACACATGTATGAAGTCAGTCGGCTCACTGAATCTGCTGAATGATAATGTGAATGTTTTTATTATTTTGTATCTTATCATCATACTGTGTGTTTTTTCTGTGTCAGGACTCAGAGATTTAGGCGTCGAGTCTCCGCAGGTGTTCCTGGTGTCCAGCTTTGAGCTCCACCTGTACGACTTCTCTCTCTTACATGAGACCTTAGACAGAGACCTTCCTGCACACAAAAGACATGCTCTGCTGCGCGCCATGCCCAACATCAGCCTGGAGATCATCGACAAGAAGAAAAAAACTTTCAAGCGTCGATTGTATTGGTTGTCCGCTCTGTCTGCAGCTGTAGCTGCTGTTCCAGTTCCTGGGCTTTCTATTGCTGTTGACATAGCGGTGCTAGTTGGTGCTGTCACAGATTACGTCTTTGGGTTTGGTCTTGATATCAAGTCTCTGCAGAGACTGTCTGCCAGCACAGGCGTGCCATACGCCGATCTGCGTGCCGTTATCGTTTCTCCGCTGGCTGCGGTGAAAATATCAAAAGAGCTCCTCCTGAAGGTGTTGAGCCAAATTGCAGGAGCAGCTACATTTATGGCACTGGAGGAAGTTTCCAGATTCATTCCAATAGTTGGAATCCCGCTGGCAATGGTGTTCTCTTTTACCACAACTTACAGACTTCTGAATTTCATCCTCAACCAGCTCGCTGAAGACGCCCAGAAGGTGTTTAAAAA